TCTTCCTAGATTTTACACAACTTATGGAACTCTGGCTTTTGTGTCTTAATTTGACATAATGCACACCACTTTTTCTACCTTGTTTTTACCTGAATTTCAATTTCCTGAGTACCAAGCTCAAGAAACTGAGGTTGATGGATTTATTTAATACAAGCAGCTAATCCATTTGGCCTATATTCAAGCAATTGACTAGTAAAGATGAAAAGGCATGCACTTAAGAATAAAATGGGCATCCAAGTATGGATAAAATTTTCCTGTTACCTGGAAGATAGCTGGGCCAGATAGTCTCTGTTGTGACTTAAGTAATCTTATTAATTAAATTCAGGTCAGAATTACCAGGTCTTTTAACACTTATAGATAGGGAAATTATGGGAGATGCTTAAACCTTAAGTGTGGCCTTGAATGCTGAGGGTTGCCCTGAATCAAAATCAGTGTGAGCTGTACTAGAATGAACTGGAATACACTCATGGCAAAGCCAATTACATTTTGGCTCAGAGAAAATGAGGGGATTGTTATGATTTAGTGGTGAGATTGTCATAGATACAAAACCACCAGGAACATAAGTCTCTGCTCTCCTATCTATCAAAAATATCCTGTTGTTTGAGTTACAAGGCTCTGCTGCACTTGCTGCTATAAAAGATTTTTCCTCCCTTATTCATTTGCAGCTGGATGAAGAATTTCTGAAGGGAAAAAAAATAATATTTAAGCTTTCCTCTAATTTGCAAGATTTGAAGGCTAGTTCTGCAGGACTGAAGTCAAGACAGGTGCTTAGATACCAGGTGACAAGGTAGGAGAGGATTGGAAATTTCAGTTAGTATTGTTTATAGTCATACCAAAACAATCTGTGTAGATTTTTTTTTTTTTTTAGAGAGGTTCTAAAGAGATTTCTGAAAAATCTTTCCAAACTTGCTCATCAGTCCTCCAACACAAAAACTTACAGTTTGTATTAATTAAACACAAATCACATTTTAACAACTCTGGAAAATATTTTTTCCAGTTAATGGTAGGACTATAGGACACTGAGAGGAATATTAGTAAAAGTGTTGCATAGTAATTGGTTTTAAAGTGAATTGAGTTTGAAAAGAAAAATGCCAGAGTTCAGTCTGTAGAACATTTTTCTTGGTTCAGAAGACTCAAATAAGGTACCTGATTTGTTGCAAGGTTTTGAGTGGAGGCTGGGGAACAGTCAGTAGTGTTTTTTATAATAATATAGGGGTTTGCCCATTTCATTTGTGTATGGAAATGTGCATTATTTATCTAGTTTCTCTAGAATTCTTTCCACTTTGCATTCAGTACTATTTCACTCTGTGTGTTCTTTCATTTTGAAATTATACAGGGAACAACACTAACAAGTCCAAGTGTGATTCAGTCCCTAGGAGAGCAAAATAAGCAGTAAGATAATTTATGAGTAGGTGATAATTATTTAAGCAAAAAGTTAACACCTGGTTTGGTGATTTTCTTTCTTTTGCAGCCACAAGAGATGTTTAAAAGAATGGTGGTTTACAATTCATCATTTAGATCTAACAAAAAACAAGTAAAATAATATTTTCCATGTTTTGTGTGGTACTTCTTGTTTGACTTATCACAGATTTAAAACTTTCTTTTCTAATTCTGTTGCTCAGTTTCTAAAACAGAAGATGCAAGACAGTCCTAGTGCATGAGAACTGCTTGTCTTTGTAAACTTTAAGTGTGTGCCTGTGGCTCCTGCTAGTCTAGGCAGAAGAAAAATGTGAATAAATCCTTCAGGCTGAACCATCTGTAACTACCTATATGGCTAAATGTTACCTTTAAGATAGCTGAACACTGATAACTGATGTGATAGTGATATTCACAATATTTCCTTGTTTCTTTTAGTGTTCAGCTGCAACAGTGATAAAACACTTTATCAGATTAACAAATCATCATAACAGAGTTACTGGTAGGAAATCAGAGGAACTGGTGGTGGAAAGCCCTGTTCATTCAGCCTTCCTGTATTGTGTAGGATTTTCATGCTGCAGTTTTGCTTCTGCTGCTTTCCTCTGTCATAATGATGAGGTTTTCATATCTTCATCTTTGGTTGGCTGGTAGTTCAATAGATGGCTCCTTGAAGAAGTGAACTTTATGTTAAATTTCTCTGCTGCTGTAAAATGTTCCAGTTTATGTACAAAACCCCTTTGGTAGTGCCAGCTAAGTTAGATACATTGACGTTATATTAAAAGTTGGCACACAGTAGTGAGCTCACAGTGTGAGATTTTGAGTGGTAAATATTAAGATTAATATTAATTTTTTATTCTTTTAATCAGTTTCAATCTATATTGAGAAGGGAAAATTGACTTTAAAAGATCCAGCTTTGAGATTATTTATTTGCCAGTAAATGCTAGTATGTTCTGAATATATAACAATTGTGTTCTTAAAAGAGGTGTTTTTTTATAAGTTTGGTTTTTTTATGGTCATGAGTTTCTCTTTCAATTATTTGTCGTTGTTGCTTGTGGTTTGTTTGTTTGTTTGTGGTTTGTTGTTATTTCTGGTCTCAATTGCTCTTGACCATTGTTGTTAGAAACCAGCAAAGCAGCATCATTAGTATAAGTGCTTGTATTTTGGAGGTTGTTTTTTCTTTAAATAGAAACTTCAGCTTTCACCTGGAAGTCCAGACAAAGAGTTGTTCCAGTGCAATCAAATATTTTACTGTTCCATTTTCAATTTATGCTCAGTATCCTGAATGTTTTTGTAAGTCAAGAAGGGATTTGAATGCTCTTAACTCTTTCACCTGAAACATCCTGAGTGGTGGGAGGGTAGGCTTGGGACTTTGTTTTCCACTTGGTGCTCCTTGGTTCATTAGTCCCTGCTTGGATATGCAGTGCACTCTCTGATCTGTGAACTTGTGCTGTCCATTTCAGGGAAGATTTATTACAGTTCAGTGCATGTCTTCTTTCTGTTTAGCAATATTTGTACATTATTGGATCCAGATCATGTCTCTGCTACATACTGATATGAACCCAAGGGGAAAACAGTTTAGGTTGAATATTAGGAAATGGTTTTTCAGCCACAGAGTGGTTGGGCACTGGAAGAGGCTCCCAGAGGCAGCCCTGACAGCTCAAGAAGTGTTTGGACTGTGCCCTCAGGTGCATAGTGTCATTCTGTGCAGGGCCAGGAGTTGGACTTGGTGATCCTTGTGGGTTCCTTCCCACTCAGGATATTCTGTGTTTCTATGACTTTTGCTTGCAGATTGTTTCAGTGATTTTTTATTATTATTATTTTGTGTGTTTGTTTTTGTGGAGTTTTGTTTTTTCCTGTTTAAGGATGATTTTCCCAGGGAAACTTCCTTCAAGGGCAACATCTGTTTTTCGTAAGGACAACCTGGGACAAAGAGTTCACTGACTTCCTTTAGATTACATAATGACTTAGTGACTTGGCTGAGATTGGAGTTCCTTTATCTAAATTACTTGCTCCAAACCCATATCTACTTTAGCCATGAATCCAAAAGGCAGTACTAATTCAGTTATTCAAAGTGTAAATTGTTTAGGTAGCTTTCATTGTAAAATGCGTCTCTTACAGTTTTAATTAAATGGTTAATTATATTAATACATTTTGTAAATTAATGAATAATTGATGGAAGTTTTTTCCCCAGGCTGAAATTCTGCCATTGTTGATATCTGTGATAAAATTCCCATGTATCTGGTTAACAAGTGTAATGCAGTGTAACAAACTTAATGTAAAGCAGTACTGTTATGGGTGAGATCAGAACACAGAAGTTTCTGGGTTCTAGTCTCATCAAAATTAGGCAACCATAAGAGGTGATAAAGAGTATAGCAGAGGAAGAATTAGTATTTTCTGCTGCATCTTTGCCATTCAACAGCCAGCCCTTAAATACACCACAGGAATCTTAACCTGTGTATTTAGTTTACAAGTGGAAAAAGGCTCAGGTGAGTCTGACAGTGAAATAGTCTTTGTTGTCAAATGGATACAATAGAAAAGAGGGCAATAATGAACATATCAAGTTTGATGACACACTGAACCACTGGTCTGTGTAAGGTATTGGTTTGCCTGCTGTGTCTGCCAAAGATTGTGTGGTTCTGTGTTCCCCTGTCACCAGGTTATTGCAGCTTGAGGCCACAAGATTGGGAGCTAGGTGCCTTAGTAAAGATTTTCTGAAGTTCTGAAGTCCTTTAGCATGCAGTGTAAGTGCAGAGCTTTCATAAATCCCCAACATTGGCCATACAGTCTCACCCAGTAGCTACTAATCCTCCTCTAGAAACTGCACTGAAACACCATCCTGACTGCTGGTGCAGGAATACCATCCTTGCAGAAAAGGTAACTCCAGCTTTTCCCTGCAGTCTTGGTCTGACAAGGGTTAAGCACTACGTTTTGTGGGTCCTCTAAAAGCTTAAAAATATTGCTGTGCCTAACTGCAGTATCATCCTCTGCACTCCAGACATTCCCTGACAAACTTTTAAGTGCTCCACAGAACCATATGAAACCAAAATCATATTGTTGTCCTGCAAATTGTTGTCTTGTACTTGCCTGTGGTATGGAGCCAACTCCCTGAAACTCCACATCAAGAGAGAGAGACGGGGGCTGAAAAAAAATCCTAAACCCCATACAGCGTGGAGTGGTGGTGCTGACAGGTGAATTGGAGCCTGTCATTTTTACCTGTTACCATGTTGATAACCCCAAAAAATATTGTTCCAAAGAGTATGGGAAAGCACCTGCCTATGGTGCTTTCAACATTTGTTTCTGATCTGTCAGACATAGAGAGGAATTGTGGAGCTGACAGGTGTTAAACTCTTTCTCAGAAATGCTCCATGGTATGACCAACTCAAATTATTGATCTCTCATGAGGTTTTGAAATGTCTTCTGACTGTCAGGATGGACTCTTTGCTGTCTTGCTGGGCTTTTCTTCATTTTCTGTCTTCTTTCATAGTTTACAGAATTATGTGTTCTCTCACTAATAATTAAGATGGAATTTGTGTGTTGTGTGAGTGAGTTGCTGTTTTTGCAATTAAATATAATTTTATTCTCAGGGCTTCCAGAAGTATGTGGAAGATTTTGATCCGTATTCAATGGTAAGGACAGAATTTAAATATGCCTCACTGTTTAATATTAAATACTCTGGAAAAAAGCCAAATCCTTGAATTTGAGGGCTGGGAGTAGGTAAGATTCTTGCTTGTTGCTTTTCTGGGTCTTGTGTATTTTTCTTTTCTAGTCATGTTGAATACGAATGTTCTTACAGGAAAAGGTGGTGTGGTGTTCTGATCTTCCTCTTACACTACTTTAGAGGGGAGGAAGATCCCTTTTCCCCCAGAAATTACATAGATCATCCTAATTGTTTTGTGGTTTTAAACTGGAAATGATTAATCATTATATATTTTTCACAGTTTACCCCAGACCAGATTATGGGAAAAGATGTACGGCTATTACGAATAAAAAAGGTAATTACTATGTTGGTTGGTTGATATTTAAAAGGTTCATGTAAGCATTTTATTTACTGGGAAGAAGGAAAGATTAAGCTCCTTTAAATGGCAAAAATTAAAATAATTTTCTGAACTAGAACTTTTTTTTTCATAGGAAGGATCATTGGACCTTGCAGTCGAGGGAGGAATTGATTCTCCAATTGGAAAGATAGTTGTGTCTGCCATCTATGAGGATGGTGCTGCGGACAAACATGGTGAGCAACAATGGGGAATCTGAATGCTGCTGCAAGGTGTTTCCTTACACTGGCTGAGAATGGTTGGCTGATTTCATAGCCTGGTACTGAAAGGCTCACTTAGATTGCCCAAGGACACAAGTTCTGTCTCAAGTACAAGGGCAGCCCTCATGTGCTGTTAAAATTAATCATCAGGTAAAATTTGTAAAAACCAGTACCTGATTCTCCGTTGTATTCTTTAATCAAGGAATGTGTTTTCCATTATTTCACAATTTCCAATGACATTTATAATACTTCCAACACACAAAGCAATTTCTTGACCATAGCTACACTACGCTGCTTAGTTTTGTTCTTTATGCTACTATAAATAGTAATTTGTCTAGTTAAGCAGCTGGCTGTTAAAAACCCAACTAAAACCTAACTAACACCCAGAGCCTCTGAAGCTTAGGTCTCAAAGGCACAAGAACAAGCTCAACACATCTGGGCTCTGCACCTGGTGGGAAATATCTGCCATCCTTTTCTTGAGAGCTCTTGTGATGACCAGGTCAACAGAGAGGGAAATATTCCCTTACACTGTCTACTGTCCTTGTCCCTGCCTGCACCTTAATTCAAGTGAAAATATTGCTGTGAAAACATTTCAGTTATTTGATCTCCCTAGTGCTCTTTCTTTCACTCTTTTTAGGATCTCTCATAACAAATGCTGTCCTCATCATCCTCTTCAAATCCAGTTCCAGTTCACTGGTTGTGCTTCATTCCAGATTGGCAAGTCAAAATCAGTTCTAAGGAACAAACACTACACATACACCTGCAAAGAAATGACCACCATGCAAACCCTTGACAAATGCTATTTTATTCCTTCAGGAATTTAATTAATTTTTGCCATTTTTGTAGAATCGTGGAAATTTTGGGGTTGGGAGAGACCTTACAGAACATGTAATTCCAAGTCCCTGCCATGGGCCGGGACACCTTACCCTAGACCAGGTTGCTCAAAAGCCCCATTCAACCTGGCTTTGAACACTTCCCCAGGGTTGGGGCATAGTAGTAACATTCTGCAGTCAGTCACAATTTGTAAGCTGTACAGCTGGATTACCCAAACAGGCAAACTGTAGAAAATCATATTGAACTAGTTTCTTACTGGTCATGATCAATAATGGCTTTGCCATACTTAAAAATTCCTTTTGTGTTTGCCTGTAGCAAGCTTCTTACCGTTTTTAGTGCAGACCTTCACATCCAGTGAGAACACTTTTCATTTTAGTCACTACTGCACAAATATGGCACAGAAAAGGCTCCTAGAATTTTGTTTTGCTTATTGGTATTTGACACATTTATCTTTTCCCCAGGAGGCATAGTGAAAGGAGATGAAATACTGGCTGTAAATGGCAAGATACTAATTGACAGCAAGCTGGCAGAAGCACAGGCAACTCTAGCAAAAGCTTGGAACATGGGTGGGGTAAGTAACCTGGAATACTATCTACAGAGCTCATATGAGAGTTACTTTTCCATCATAACATTGTCACATACACACAAACAAGGTTACAAACATCAAGAGTAGAGGGTATGTCAGGTACTGCCAAAATAAGCTAAAATCTGCAGAAGATGCTGGTATGTAGCATCTCTGAAAACCATGTGTGTAATTTACTGGCAAATTTCATGGCCTCCAGCCACATGTCAAGATTGGTATTTAAACACATTACATTCTGAGTGTTTATAGTACCTTTATATGTAAAATCACTCTTTGATATTGAAAATTACTTGCAAGTTGATTGGATTTTTCTGATAATAGCTTATCCTTGATTTCTTGATGTACAGGCAACATTGCCCTTCAGCTAGAGTGTTTCCACAGCAAGAACAGCTCTCATTTCTCAGAGGACCAATACAGCATGATCCTTAGAATACCTTTTTTTTAAAAAATGTTGTTGCAACAGTAGAGTTTTCTTTAATTTCAATATAGAAATCACAGCTCAATTTTTAAATGGTCTTCCTATAGAACTTTTTAATACAGACCTTAGTCCTTCTCCCTGTGGTTTTCCAGGAATAGAGTACCTCTCAGATTCTCTGTCTGACATTCCATGGTGCTCCACTGGACACTTCTAAAAGCAGTATTTAACAGCAGATGTTTGAATCTGCTTTTCTTTTTCAGGATTGGATTGACTTAGTCATTGCAGCATCACCTCCAAAAGAATATGATGATGAAATGTAAGTGCATAAGCTTTTTTTCTCTGGTGATTAAAAGCTGAGTAACAATAGCCAGTTTGCTTTTTTTTGTCATATATTTTTCAAGTATCTCCTTCTTATGGACTATATAACCTCCTGCTTTACATGGTTGCTAATTTGATAATTATAAGTAGCTGTCATGCATTACAGCAGTGGTTCCCAGACTGCAAAACTGTGTTTCTCAGAATTGGTTGTACGTGACTACACACTCATACTTTAAAGTTTGAGGATTTGGGATTTGTTTTTTTTTAGAAGTGACACTTAACTTCAGTCTGAATCATTTGCTATATTCCCATAGATCATAATTTAGAGAAACAAATCCCTCTAAACATTCTGCATCATAACCAGACATTTAATTCTATTGTATGGTTTGGTTTTGTTTTTATTTTTGTTTTTTTTTTTTTTTAATTAGATTGCTAACTAATAACAATTAGTTATTAATTCTAATTAGTTCTAATTACTAATAACTAATAACAATTAGTTATTGTTCTTGTCTAAGCAATCTTATGTAACATTTTCAGGAGAGATTAAGGGATTTGGGTGTCTTGGCAATGCTCACAGAATCCTTGTTTTAAAATAATCAGCATAGGTGTGAAACAGAAGAATCTACAGCTACAAGTGTGATAGAGGTATCTAGTTTATACAACTTGCTTTGGTTTGGACAAACGGCTTCAAAAGCAAGACCCATGTTTTCAAGTTTGAAGGAGATTTGAAGATATCCTTACTACCAAGTAAAATGGCAGAGCAAGGTTTTGTAGTCTCTGTTAATCTGGACTCTTGTTCTATGCAGAATACTGGAGTATTAGTTGCCATAAATCAGTTTTACTGGATAACACCAACTGTAGGTTGATGTGAAACTTTGTTTAATACATGCACATAAACTAATGGGATTAATGGGCAAGGAAATAACTGTCACTGTTATTTTTGTTTTCATATCTTGCATATGTAGCCCTACCATTCCCTCATCAGCAGTCAGTCCCAACACACACAGAAAGGTTTTTGAAGGCAGTGCACCTGTGTACAGACAAGGGTATCTCCTGCAGCTGTAGCCACTGCAGTGCTCCTCCTGGTGAATTGCACACCTGGCTTAACATGACTGGCCACTGTGAGGCTGTGTTATTTTTTCAGCATGTGCCTGCCTGTGCATTGCTTGCCATCCTTGCTTTTGTTGTTGGCATGCTGGCGCTGGAGTGTTCTTTGGGCTTTTGCCATGCCTGTGCTATTGAAATACAAGTATTTAGTTTCTACTTCATAAAGTCCCTCAGAGATCCTCTGCAGAATTGGTTTATCACCTGCCAGACTATTAAATAAATAGGCCCTGTCTAAACAAGTAGGATTAGCCTAAGGTTTTTTCCTTATCTGTGGACCACTGCTGTGGCTTTGTGAGTTCATAAGTATATAAGCAACTACAAATTATTTGCTTGTGAAGGCTTGTCCAAAGAACAAGTTTCCATTTGGATTATTCACAGTGTGCCTGTAAACAAGTATTCATGAGTGTTTGGTTTTCAGTGAAGTTTGTCTCTGTTATTTTGTCATATACCTTTACAGTGGGTTTGTTCTGAAATTATCCTTGTCTCTGAAATTCAGTTTACTCTGTATGGTTTCTCTGTGGCTGTAATCACTGTAAGTACAGTCATAGATCTCTAGAACTACCAAGGTACATTTATTGTTGCATGTGGGTCTTCTCATTATTACTTATAATACACATCAAAACTACCTAAGATCCAGTTTAAAAACTGTGCTTACTAGAAAGATTAAAGGTTGCACAAGAGATAACAGCATATTTCTCACTATCTTTTTTTCCCCCTTCACAGGACATTTTTTTAAAGAAGACTACAACCCTTGAAATGCAATCTCTCCTCAGCAGAAACCCGCTGTTCAGTAAATTAATAGGAAATCAATAACCACATGAAATGTATCTTTATTGACTGATCTGTAAATTGAACTAGAGACATCAGATTCTTCAGGATAATTTGAATAATGTATTATCATTGTATAGACATAGTACAAAACTTTTTTTGCATGATGATTGAAAAGAACTGCTGACCAGCACAGTTCAGGCTGTGAGCGCTCAATCTCTTTTTGCTATTTTGAGGGGCCAAATTTTGCAAATAATCTCTCAGTTTTCCTGGAAATAGACTCTAAAATGACAATTGAAGATAGAACATAGATGCCTGTTCCCACATGCAACACTTGTGAATACACATTTACAGGCCAGTTTGGGTGTGAAAAGAATTATATTTTTACTTCCTAGATAGTGATTTTCCTGGGAAAATGGTAAAGTTAACTTCTGTTCTCATATTCTTGTAGCTCTCCTAATGTCCATTTTTATGTCACAGTTTTGAGGTGACATCCATAATCCTGAGTATTTGTATTGTTGGCAAAAATTCCTCCCTCATATAGTCATGGGTGGGAAATTTGGGTGATTCACAGTCTGCTGTTTTGTACTTTGTTGTCAGTGAGCCTATGTATGTGACTAAACAGTGCAGGAAGCCACCAAGTATAACTTTCTGCTCTTGGTGACTCTGTGCCTTAGGTTTGAGTAAATTCCTCAAGACCATAAATTCAATACCAGTTTGACTTTAAGTGTTATTAGAGTTGTAGAATTAGTAATTATATTTAGAGACACCTCATAAGAAATGTCATTGCCCTTTTTCCTTTCTTGTACCTGCCAGTTTGTGTTCTGTTTTTCATGTTGTGTTTAGATTTTTCTCAACTGTTATACTGAGAGACAGTTCATTGGTATATCAAATTCTCACTGAAGTCTTGCCTTTTCAAGGTTTGGGAGCTCTTCTTTTCTCCAGCACATAAAAATAACAATTACATTCCTAAGAACTCTGTACTTATATGCAGATGCTTACTTATGTTGACTTTCTTTATTTGCAGTATTCTTCCAGTATGCCAATTAATGTGTGTGGCAGGGTATATATGTTAGAATATTTAAATGTTGAATTCTTACAGCTAATCCAGAAATAAAATTGCATTTGCCAAATGGAAGAAGTCTAGTTTCCTATTTGTCTCTAGGTTTGTTTATCACAGTAATAGTTAATCTGCTAAAGTACATAGACTTCTGAGTTTTTCTTCAATAACAGACCCACTTGCAAGAGATTGCCTCGTGGAACTCATAATTAACTTTGCACTGGAGGGAATTTTCCAGCATGCATCTACCCTGGCCTGTAGACTTCCTAAACACAAACTAATCTAAATTCTGAATGCATCAAGATCAGCACCAGAAGGAAATTGCAGCAGGATGTACTTCTCCTGCTGCTTTGGTTCCCAGTTGCCTACATACTGCAGCCATCTGGACCGTATGACAATGCATCAGAGAGATGAGTGGTGCTATCCAATGTTCTCCCAGGGGCTGCTCGGATGTTCTGTACCAGCAAACAGAGAGCCACAGTAATGCACCAGTAAAGAACTTCAGTGCTTGATTGTGCCAAACACTGTCTCAGCACACTAAGAAACATAATGCAACAAAACTTAGAGGTTAGATATTAGAACTATTTCTACTGGTGTTATTTTTTCAGAGACAGAAGGAGTACAGAAGACTGAGCTGGGAAATCTGTGGGAGTACCAGCAGTTGAGTTGTAGCCTTGCTTCTTAGTCACAGAACTATCTTTCTTCTCCCCATCTATCCTGTTAACTTGATTTGCTTGGATACAGCTTAAAATGTATGAAAGGCAGTTGAGGAAATAGTTCCTGCTCAGTACTCCAGGTATATTAAAAAAGTGTTACTTTGAGAGTTTAACCTGTATTGCTTTGGGCAATGTAAGTAGGCAGTATCAGGAGAAAGGAGGCTGTCACTTCTGAATCTTAAAATTATCTTAAGCCATTAGCCAGGTAGCTTTTTACTGTGTTTCTGATTTTCAGTAGCCTAGAACTGCATCCCACCTTGGATTTTCCAGTTAGCTCAAGGAGTTGGAAAATGCTCTAAGAGAATACATTTTTCAGGCAACTTCTCTTTCAGTTACTTTGATGTGTGTGAGCAGCGTCCCAGGTATAAGTAATTTAAACAGGAGTGCCCATTTTGAGTTGCTACTGCATTGTATTTTGGTGGCTGTCAGTTATTACATGTGGTTGTGCCTCATCCCTGTTCAACAAGGCCAGTTTTGAAAATAAGGAGTAAATGTGACTTTCTCTTGCTCAGCCAATGCTGTTTCCTTTGGGAGTATGGAAACTGTGACCTGATGCACAAAGCAGGAAGAAGTCCAAGTACTCCACTGACAGTATCATGAATGCTTCAAACCCCTTTTAAGAGAAGATGGTTTTCTGTTTTTCATTTGCTGTAATCTCAGAGGGAATATGTGTAGTTTCTCAGAGCTGTTTGTTTGGTTAAGACCGCCAAACCCCACTATCTCTCTCTATGGGATAATAACCCAGAGGAAGACTTTCTCAGAACTGTTAACAACCATTCTTATTCTCTCAGGAATTTCTTGGCCACGTTGCCTTTAGCAAACCCCCCACAGCTGCTCAACTGGAGCATGAATTACATTAGAGACTTGTGACTTTCACATTGCTCTGTGAGCCTCTGCGTGCCTGTGTGCAGGCAGAAAATGTGAGACCCTATGGATCAGAACCACGGCATGCATTACAGGATAGGAAATACCATGGTTTATTACTCATATGGATATTAGCATAGGGAGGTCTTTGATCTATTTATTACTGCCATTCTGCTAATTCATAATTTAGCCGCTATTTATCATCTGGCCATGGCATCTTTTAGAGATTGTGCATACATTTCAGAGAAGCTGGGTTTTTTTAAAAAATACTCTATTCACAAACAAGTGTACAACATAAGGAGGGGTGTATGTGCACACACACATTTGTAAGGCTTTTAAAATTAACTTAATTTGAGGAGCATGCATGTGCAAATAATCTCAGCACTTCACAAATATGAGACATAACCTCTGAATATACATAATTTGTTATAATCCACTTCACCATAAAAAAAAAAAAAAACAAAGAAAAATCATGGCTTTGTGTCAAAGGATGCCTATCTGGTTGTAAGCAGCTTGATATGCAATAGTTGATAAATGTCCTCCTGTTTGTTTCAGCTGTATGTTGACCCTGATAAAGTGTGGTCAGATTTTGGGTAGCTGCAGTGGAATTCTTAGCCATCTTTCACCACATAAATATCCCCCTGGGATCTCTGTTGATATGAACACACACCTTTACACCATCTAAGGACTAGGTCTAGTGTAGAAAAGCCAGTGTCTTAAATGTAAGTACATGACCCCTAGAATTATAAATCAGATGGGTCTCTTGTGATTGAGCCTCATAAAGAGTTTGAACTTCAGTGTTCTGTCTGCCAGTTTTATCTTTTGCCTTGATCTAATGAGGTTTCTGCTTTTCTGACTGATGGAAATTTCTGGAACAGATTTCAAAATTGTTTTTCTGCAGGGCTGAGATCTGAGGTGACTCCAGGTGGGCCATTCACAGGTCATGCAAATTCTTTTTAAGGACACTGACTAGGATGCTTGCTTTCCTTCTTCCTAGGGAAGGCATATAAAGGTTTGCCTCTGCTGGAATACTTCTTCCTCTACCACTAGATACACATTTGATGGGTTATTGAAGGACACAGCTAACAGCACAACATTTTGGTGAGGCTCAGGGTCTACTTATATTTACAACAAGGTCATTTGGGCTACTTTTGATCTCTACTGAAATCATCTAGGATGAAAGGAGTGGAGACAGACATAGAAAAATAAATTAATAACATTTCTGTTCTCTAGAAGGGAAGTTTTGAAATGTGAAGCTTCAGAGGATCACAACTTACAGTTCTCCAAATTGTGATGATGGATACATTCCATAATATCAATGATTAGTGTAAAAGCCACTGGAAGGAAGTTTTAAGGAATTAATTTGGAATAAGTAAACTGCAGACTGGCAGCTCCTGATTATGTAAGTCTGAATGGCTGTTGTTGAACTCAGAATGTTTGTCTACATGGAAAAACATGGAGTCTGATGTCCTGCAGAGAGCTGCTTCATGATCCACAAAACCTGCTGCATGATTAGCAATGGGTATCCCCTTGCACACCTGAACTTGATAGAAGTTTGCCACTTAGAATGCAATCATAGACTGAAACAAGCAAAGCACTTAAGTACATACTTAAATTTAAGCATATGAGCCAATCCCATTGTCATAGGTTGAGTTCAATAATCCTACTCAGGCTGGATTTTGCTGGATAGAGGCCTGAAGTCAAAATCTGAAGGCAATTGATGCCTTAGTCCTGGACATGCTTAATATGGAAACTTGTTAATGCTCAAGTTATAGTATTCATACTGAATTTTAGTTCCTCCTCATTTTTTTTTCAAATAATCTTCAAAGGTTATTCCTCTCACCAGCTCCCACTGCCCATTTTCTTGTTTTGTCCTCATCTCTTTTCTCACCATTTCTCTTCCAAACATCAGTAAAACTCATTAGTCTTCAATGGCTATAACAGAGTTTGTTTATATGGTGCTTAAAGTTTGGGAGAAGGAGACAGATTCTCCCAACATAAACTGAGCAAGATAGAAATCAGACAGCCTTTTTGAGGACAAGGACTTTTCTAAACAGTAAGGAAGTGACAGGGAAAGTTGCTAATGGTTATTCTTTATGCAAAGGCAAATGCATGTAAAACCAAGAGAGTTTCAAACTATTTTTTCTGAAATTTTGTTCTATTTCTTCTGCCTTTCCCCTAAGCAGCTCTGGGTGCTTTAGCACTGAGACCCGATGTTCATGTTGGCAACAGCCTGAGGCTCTTGAGGATTAATGCCACTTAACAGAGGGCAAAGAACACTACATATAAAACATTTTTAGAAACACTCAAGAGAAAATTAAGCTTTGACAAAAATCTTGTACTAGGTATTTCCCTGACGGGGTGGAATAACTTTTCAGGGTTATCTTTTGAAACTAAATAGATTATAAGTTTGCAAATATCAGTATTTTTGTTATTCTTTCTCCCCCCGAGTATAATATGTGGAATTTTCAGAGTGGAGACAGCCATTAACAGATTTTAATTAGCAGAAATTCCAACCTCAAGGAAGGACAGAGGGAAAGAAAGAGAAATGCATGTTCCAATTTTGATTATTAACAAAGAATTGTAGTGAAGCAGATCTCTGAATGTTATTAAACTGCTAGGACAGAAGAAATTGCATAGTCTTCCTCTGCAGAAATCAGGCAACTCCATCTAAATGCAGAGGAGTGACATGCATAGCCAGAATTCAGACTGAGAGAACACACAAGTCTTTTCTCCAACTAATGTGTACATTTCTCATCAGCCATTTCAGAATTTACAGGTGGGTGCAACATAATTTATAATGTTGTTTTTCTTCTTGGAGAATTTGATTGCAACAAATTTCTGTTAACACTCATAGGGCTGATTGAAACAGAGGTGGTGGGCATATTTTGCGGTTGGATCATTCACAGGGAAAGTTAATTGAGTGTATTAAGTTGCCATTAAGTTGTAATGATTTGTCCCATATTGTACTACTGCAGGATAGCTGTGTTTGTTGTCAGCTGTGACAATATTCACATTTCTTTGCCTCTAGACAGACAAACAGATGCAGAAGTGTTTTGGTTATTTTTCTATTATGCTATTGAAATACATCAGGAATAGCATAACTTCTCAAGGATGAAGTTACCTGGTATTGCCTTTTCTAATTATGTCTTTAAACTCATGTGTACATGTTTAAACAGATGTTTAAATTACCATGGTAAATAGATGGGGAAAAGTGGCTAGATTTATAAATGACACATAGGAACAAAATACTTACCCATCTTTGCACTAGGACAATGCAAGTGACTTTTATTCAAGGGACATCATCATTTTCCTATGAAGTAGATAACACCCAAGTATGAAATAGTCAGCTGTGTTCCCAACTGTGGAAGAGAGAGGAGCTTTTATCTACTTGTAGGATTGTAGAATGATCCTTTCCTTACCTTACAACATTTTGAGCCTTTATTGCCCATACTACAAGCAAATGGGGAAATGGCAAGTGCTTTTTTTTATCATGTG